CCAAAAGAAAACCGGTCATTTTCCTTTTGCATTTTCTCTTAATTTTTTTCTCTTTTTAATTCAGATTTTACAGAGATATTGCCCCAAGGGTCGTATTTCTGCAATTCGAATTGCCCTCCACTAAATCAGGAGGGATGAGGTCACAGTAGGGACCTGCCAGTCCCTACTGTGCCAGTCCCAATAGGCCGGTATAGGGCCAAACCTGGTAGACTTTCGAGCCTTGGTCGACCCCACTGGGGGTCCCATTTGGCTTGGCCCGCCCACGCTCATGCTCAGGGCGCGGATAGCTAGAGCATGGATGGCTCAGGAGCTAGGAAAATTGGGTAGGGGACAGATTACATTTCATAGGGGTGGCCTCTCCTAGCTCACCTATTGCGAGCGTTGTCATTATCACGTCTGACCTTGGCTATAGCATAGCGAAGAGTACCATAGGATACTTCGGCAAAGATACGGAAGACACGAAGACAAAAAATAAACTGATCAAGCGTCCAGAGCAAGCATTGAAGCCATTCCATTTCACTCAATAGTAAGAGGCAGAAGACACGAGAACACAGCAATCAAGAAAATAACAATCAAGAAAACAACCAGAGAAGTAAGGGTTGAACAAGGACCGACAGCAGGAGCAGGAGAGGGAAGGGAAAAGGAGAAAGAAGAAGAAGAAGAAAGGAGGGGAAGAGAGAAGAGGGAAGTGAGGAGATTGAACACAGAATACGAATTCCTGAAGCCCAAGCGCTGGAATTTTAATAATAAACATGAAGCTCATAGAAGGCCCCCATCAGGCAGGGCGAGCTGTGCAAGGGCACAAATGGTCATCTAGCCGTTATGGAAGCCAGCGTCGGCGAATCCCGACATGTTTCGATTGCAGCCGACCAGCAGTCATCATCAGGGGAAGGCGCTAGGTTTCAAGATATCGAATACCGTGTCCAAGAGGGAATAAATAGGGAGAGAGGGGAAGGAAAGAACAAGAGAGAGAGAGAGAGAGAGAGAGAGAGAGAAAGAGAGAGAGAGAGAGAGAGAGAGAGAGAGAGAGAGAGAGAGAGAGAGAGAGAGATACTTAGCTTTCATGAGGTTGGGCCGGAACAGCAGCGCGAGGAGGATAATGCCATAGAGTGGGCGTATGAGTAGCGTGCTCATGGTGAAGCAAGGAAAGTATCGTCCCGAAAATGAGTAGTCAATAAGCAAGCGGCGAGACCGCCGCGCCCGCTCCTGTTGAACTGGGCACATAGAGGAGATGGATCGGCTGGGGATATGGTATAAGAAGGGACAAGAAGCGGATTGCGGGGAGGAGAAGAGCCAGCAGGAGGTGAATGGAGGTTTTCCTCGGCCAGAGAGCAACGAGCGCGCGTATGGACGCGCGTCATAGGGCCTCAGTAGCTGGGGGCCAATTAACCTGGCCCATATCGTGTCAGAAATAGCGTCGGAAAAAATACTCAGGTAACTCGCGGAGGGGTAGAGGAGGCCTGAGACCGAACATAAATCCTGCCTATGCCCAAAAACAGCCCAAATAGGGGTTCCGAAACGACTGCCCAGAAAGGACTTCAAGGGCTCAAAAGGGACCCCTTTGTTACATATTTGTTGCATGGGCCTTGTTCTTTTGTGTCATACATGGTTTTCCATCAAAAGAGTCGGTCCCACCTGGTGAGGCAGTAGACCCAATCATCCCAGCAATCGACAGATTTCGCAGAGAAGCTGCTTAGCGAACTGTCAAAGAAGTAATCGTGGTACCCTCGAATTCGTAGTTCCTGCTTGAAAGTGATGAGGAAGAGAAGTTCTGAGGCAGGCATAGTAGCAAAGTGCTTAGCACGGTGTAGGAAAGAGTTGATAACTGCCATCTTCTGTTGTTTACTGCTGAAGGAGCAGGAATCCTGGATGGCTTGGAAAGATATATGGCCTGAAGACAACAGAGAAGACTGATTCCTGTGCGTGGGGATACAACATATTCGGAATGGATGGGGGAGGATCTGCAGCTGGCATCCGAGAAAATCCCATCTGTCGCTGGAGCTTGTTTTCTCCAAAGATAGATTAGCGTCGTAGCATGAAGTGAAGGTCTGCAGTAGTGCCCCTGCTTTATCTCTCGACTGTGGTTTTGAAGAATCTAATAAAAACTGATACGTCATCGACAAGTCGAGTCCCATGGATGACTTTCCTGTCAGTGCCTAAGGAGGCCAAAAAGTTGTGCTCGTTAAACATACAAAGCATAGCTGCAAGAGAAGGGCTAGAGGCTTTGCCCATTGGTACCCCTACCATTTGTTTGAGTAAACGACCCATGGTCGATACGTACGTGTGTTTTAAGTCGAAATCGACAAACTCTTCAATTACTGAGAAACGAACATGCTTCCATCCTAATAGGGATCTACTGGTAGATAGTTTGACCTCCTTTCCTCTACTTCTTACCCAGACTCCTTCAAAACCTTTCAGTTGAAAAAAGAGTGAGAACCATCTCACTGCATTCCGAATGGAAGAATGTGGGAGCCTGCAGAACATTTCTTTGACATCGAAACTTGCACACAGCTGATCCTTAGAGGGGAGCAGAGAACGGTTGAAGTGCAGAATAGACGGGATAAGGTCTTTGGTACTAGATAAATTGAAGTGCAGGGAACTAGGTAGAAGTTTAATGAGGGCGTTGAGGCAAGCAGTAATCTTCTTACAGGCGGAGAGGGAGGGTTCAGTAGCAGTGGGACAGATGGGACGCCATCTTTGGATGTTCTTGTGCTTGGGGATAACATAGCCTTTGCCGATAGATCCTTTGTTGTTCCATTTTGCTATGTAGTCGAAGCCTGCTTCTTGGAAACTTGTTCTGCAAAGCCGCAAAATGTCAGCCTCCGATGTGTCTTGCTGAGTAAACACTGGATTTTTAAGGAACAGTGCATTCATGCCCTCCTCATAAACTGTAGGACAGCAAAACAGGGTATCCCCTGGGTTGTGGTCGAGTGGGACTAGGACCAGTCCGTTTGCAAGCTCCCGCACTAACCATACACTGTCAGGTGTGAAGGGAAGGGATGCCAGAGGTCCTAATGAGGGCCCGGGAGGAGAGGAGGGAGTAGGGTCTGGGAAGGAGCAGAAGCAGGGGGATACATGGGGAGCAGGCATGAGGCACGAAGGGGGTGGAGCAGGGGGGGTGGGTCTTTCTTCCTCTTCTCCTTCTTCTTCTTCTTCTTTTTCTTTTTCTTCTTCTTTTTCTTTTTCTTCTTCTTTTTCTTCTTCTTCTTCGTCTTCTTTTTCTTTTTCTTCTTCTTCTTTTTCTTCTTCTTCTTCTTCTTCTTCTTCTTCATCTCCTTCATGTTCCTCACCCCCCCCCCTGACTAGGATAAATGGACACCTATCTTTCCGTGCAAAGATGCCCCTTTTCTCCCTGACTGGCTTCACAACTCCCGAAATATTCCCCCACCTTCCCGCCGATATTCCTTGTCATTCCTGCGCGCTCAAATCCTCTCCACTCTAAAAAATATCCCCTGGCTCTCAAAAACTCCGAACCATTTCAGCATACCCAACTCCCGGCTCCTGCGGAGAAAAAGAGGAAGAAGAAGAGGAAAAGAAAGAAGGAGAGGCAGAAGACGAAGAAGGGGAGGTGGAGGGAAGGAAGGGGAGAGAGGGGAGGGAGAAAAAAGTAGGAGGGGAGGGAGAAAAAAGTAGGAGGGGAGGGAGAAGACCGAGTGAGACACCCCAAAGGGAAACATGGGGGAGGGCAAGCCAAGGACTGAAAGCGACTCGTGAATTCCTCGCAGCAGCAAGAGGTCCCGTCTATTCTTGAAAAATGACGGAAGTTATGCAGAGTTTGGGCGACACTAGGATTCTTTGTCCAAACAACCCGAATCCTTCGAGCCAACATACTCGCAACCCGACACTCGAATATTTGCCTCTTGTATCAACTGTACGCAGAGTGACCGCACTTTGGCCTTGGAAATAAGATTGGTAAATTTCAGCCTGAAGACAAGCCTCTTGCGAGGGGAGATGCCAAACCGTCTTCGTATGACATTCGAAAGAACTAGTCTAAGAGTCTGTCATGAAGATTTCTTGGAAAAACTTCTGACCGTGCCATAGGCGTAGATTATATTATCGAGGGACCATTGGTACAAATTTTTGCGTTCATTGGGGTGGCTAAGCAGTCGAGCAACAGGCTGTTTGAGACCATCAGACCTTGAGCAAAACTTGACGACTGCTGCCACGTGCACTACGCTTCCATCTTCCACCCACATCCTACAATGCTTGAGTTGATTTCTGCCGAACTTACTAACTACGATAGATGCACCGAAGACGCGCTTCATGATCTTCCAGGAATCGTCAAGGATTCCTCCACCTTTACAGACCAAAGAGAAGGACGAAATGCGTGAATGCACACATTCGTTGAAAATGTGTAGTAAAGAGATGGAGTTGATCCCTACTGACGTTACAAAAAAAGCAACCCGATACTACTTAGTCTGCTTAGGGGAGACGATCGTGTCTTTACCCTCACTGCTGTTCATAGCTCTACGTGTTTTCCTTAACCTTTCACGCTTACCTGGTCTACATTTTCTATTCCTGCATTTCTTTGGAACAGATGGCCGGGAGTTCAGATATGGAGAAGCCCAGCGAATGACAACATTCTCGGCAAACAAAAGATCAGAAAGAGGTTGAGATGTAAGGGGTAAGGCAACATAGTGGGAGAGACTTACCCTTCTGAACCATCTGTATAACTTGTGGTTGCGAGACGAAGGTGTTGTAGAAGTAGGTTGACTAGGAGATAATGATCGTGACACATGTTCCGCCCATCTGCTGTTGAGAGACCGAGAGGTAGAGCCGATATAAACATGTTTAGTTAATGGGGAGATCAGGCAGTAAACTACAGGTCCAGGGGCTAGACTAAAATCATAATCCTCTCTTAGTAAACTAGTCAGCTGATCTGCGAACTTCCATCCCCATGGGATCTGACCAATAAGAATTAAGCCAATAATTAACGTACGAAAGAGGTAATTAACATGAGGATCTAACAGAAAGGCCCTGGATCTGCGCAGAGGGAGGCAGAGATTTACCAGATCCCATAATGTTCCGGCGCTTGGGCAACGTTCCTATTCGCCACCGATTTGTTCATCTTCCTCGACATTGACAGGCTGAGTATCTGCCGCGTCCTCTTGACCGTCCTCCTTCGCATCCTCAGTATCGGAACCTGGGCCTGGCCGTCCTGCCTTCGCTGGTTCTGGGCGGAAATCGAATGCCGACGAGGCACGGTGCTCAGCTATATCGTTGATCGCCTGTTCATAGGTGCAGAAGGTGATTCCTTCCCTATTATAGAGTAGCTGTAGGCCCTGCTTCTTCAGCCGTTTGAGATGCTTCTTGGTTTCCTTGAGGAAGTCGGCTCGTTCAGCAGCTGCAGCCTTCGTGGCCAGTCGACCTGACGTTCTCTTCGGAGGGGAGGGACGCAGTATAAGGTCGTCCAACGCATCATCCTGCCTGCAGTGCTGCTCGGGATCATCCTCATCAGTAGCATCGTTCATTCTCTTGGTCAGATTCGAGCGAGGAGTTCGTCCTTGCCTGACCAGTTTATCGATCGCCCGCTCGAAACGCTCCTTGAGCATCTGGACTTCCAGAGCCGCAGCCCTCTTACCGTCCTTTACTTGGTTGTATGCTTTCAGCAGCTTCTGAAAGTCCTGCGACGTCGGTGTTCCAACCCCCATAACTCTGGGCCTGCCATGGGCCGGAGCTTTCGGCGGGCTAGCTATACATACCCCGCCGCCTGGTCTCTTGGCGCCTGCTCTTGAGTTCTTGGTTGTACGTGATAACTCCTCCATTTGCTTCCTGATCCACTCATTCTCCACTCGAAGCTGCTCGATCTGCTTCTGCAGCCGATCTCTCTCCGCGTCACTCTCAACTCGTAGCCTCGGCTGCTCGACTGGTCCCCTCCTTTCGCCGATAATCCTAGCAGAATCAACTTTTCCTAGGAAAAGCTCGCACGCATCATTGATTTTGTTGCCTACGATGTTACTGATGCGATCCTCGAAGTCTTGGCGATCGTTCATCTTCTTCAAGGCTTTCTCTTCTGCTTCTTTGGCCCTCTTCTTCTCTTCCTCTTCCTTGAGATGACGTTCCTTCTCGCGGATGGCCTCTTGCCGGGCCTCGAGCTCGGAGGCCATGAACTCGTACACTCGGTCGAGTTTCTCCTGATTCAGCTTCCACCAAGATTGACGAGGGACGATCGCCGGACTCATATTACCGGACTGAGACGTGGAAGGAGGTGGGGGAGGGGGGAGTGCAAGCAGAGGAGCTTGCGAGGAGACAGGGGAAGAGAGGGTAGGTGGAGGTCGCAGGGGGGGATACGATGGAGATGACGAACGGAAACCATTAGTCTGTTGAGGAAAAGACGGTTGGCGAGACGGGCAGTCCCTGGCAAAGTGACCTGGCATGTTACAGTTAAAACATGCACCATGGGAGGCCATCTTGATAGGTTCGAAACTTGATTCAGTGATCGTATCGTGAGAAGAAGTCGACCCTGTCAGAAAAACACACAAAAACAACAATGACAACAAAAAAAAAACAGTGCGAACAACGGGGAAAAGAAATCCAATAGGTGCATCAGAAAGGACAGTGGATCTCCGTGAGAGGTTTTTAGACAAAGGGGTGTTTAGATGAAACGAGGGAGGAGAGCCGAGACACAAATATTGCGAGTGAAGAGAGTTTTGACACACATCGTAAAGAGGAAGAGAGTGCGTGTCGCGAGAGAGGCAGGAGTAGATCAGAGTAGAGAGGACGTGGGTAGGGATCGAGATAGAAGAAGTGATAAGGATAGGGATAGGGATAGGGATAAGGATAGAGATATGGATAGGGATGAGAATAAGGAAGGATAGGGATAGGGGTAAGGATAAGATCGGAGAAACAAGCAACCACACTAATAGTAGTATAACTTCTACTCAGGTTATTGCTCGAATATATGAGAATAGCTAGAGCATGGATGGCTCAGGAGCTAGGAAAATTGGGTAGGGGACAGATTACATTTCATAGGGGTGGCCTCTCCTCGCTCGCCTATTGCGAGCGTTGTCATTATCACGCCTGACCTTGGCTATAGCATAGCGAAGAGTACCATAGGATACTTCGGCAAAGATACGGAAGACACGAAGACAAAAAATAAACTGATCAAGCGTCCAGAGCAAGCATTGAAGCCATTCCATTTCACTCAATAGTAAGAGGCAGAAGACACGAGAACACAGCAATCAAGAAAATAACAATCAAGAAAACAACCAGAGAAGTAAGGGTTGAACAAGGACCGACAGCAGGAGCAGGAGAGGGAAGGGAAAAGGAGAAAGAAGAAGAAGAAGAAAGGAGGGGAAGAGAGAAGAGGGAAGTGAGGAGATTGAACACAGAATACGAATTCCTGAAGCCCAAGCGCTGGAATTTTAATAATAAACATGAAGCTCATAGAAGGCCCCCATCAGGCAGGGCGAGCTGTGCAAGGGCACAAATGGTCATCTAGCCGTTATGGAAGCCAGCGTCGGCGAATCCCGACATGTTTCGATTGCAGCCGACCAGCAGTCATCATCAGGGGAAGGCGCTAGGTTTCAAGATATCGAATACCGTGTCCAAGAGGGAATAAATAGGGAGAGAGGGGAAGGAAAGAACAAGAGAGAGAGAGAGAGAGAGAGAGAGAGAGAAAGAGAGAGAGAGAGAGAGAGAGAGAGAGAGAGAGAGAGAGAGAGAGAGAGAGAGATACTTAGCTTTCATGAGGTTGGGCCGGAACAGCAGCGCGAGGAGGATAATGCCATAGAGTGGGCGTATGAGTAGCGTGCTCATGGTGAAGCAAGGAAAGTATCGTCCCGAAAATTAGTAGTCAATAAGCAGGCGGCGAGACCGCTGCGCCCGCTCCTGTTGAACTGGGCACAGAGAGGAGATGGATCGGCTGGGGATGATGGTATAAGAAGGGATGAGAAGCGGATTGCCGGGAGGAGAAGAGCCAGCAGGAGGTGAATGGAGGTTTTCCTCGGCCAGAGAGCAACGAGAGCACGTATGGACGCGCGTCATAGGGCCTCAGTAGCTGGGGGCCAATTAACCTGGCCCATATCGTGTCAGAAACAGAGTCGGAAAAAATACTCAGGTAACTCGCGGAGGGGTAGAGGAGGCCTGAGACCGAACATCAATCCTGCCTATGCCCAAAAAAAGCCCAAATAGGGGTTCCGAAACGACTACCCAGAAAGGACTTCAAGGGCTCAAAAGGGACCCATTTGTTACATATTCGTTGCATGGGCCTTGTTCTTTTGTGTCATACATGGTTTTCCATCAAAAGAGTCGGTCCCACCTGGTGAGGCAGTAGACCCAATCAGGGCGCGGGCCGTTCGTCCCAGGGTCACCCCCACCTAGTGCTTTGAGATGGATGGGGGTTGGCCATCGCGCGAGAGAGCTTTGACATTGGGGATGTAGCTCAGCCCTCACGCCGGGTGGCAGACTCGCTGGTCATTCCGCAAACGATGATTTTTTTTTTTTTCTTGGTTGTGTTCTCAAGCAAATGCTCCTTCCAATATGCAGGCAGTCCAGGGGCTCTTTGAGAGTTATTTTCTCTTGTGCGCAGACTAAGTGTCATCCTTAGGCCACACACCATTTCCCTAAGCACAACAATCCTATAGCGTTATTAGGATGCGGGAACGCCGTTTCCCCCCTCGTCTCTACGCACTCCTCGTGTCTCATACATTTCATCCATCGTCATTGGAGCAGACCCCTTAGTCCTTTCGGGGCCTTCACATGCATGCACATGCTACTTCACAGTCCGATCAGCAACAAGCCTCATTCCTTTCTTTTGTTCGCATTCCAAGTCTCAAGCACAAAGGTCTCCCTCATGGTTTGGTTTTACACTAAGGGCCCATCGCCCCTTTGCCCCCTCTTCCCCTTTTCCTTTGCCGCCCGATTTCTCCCGGCAAGGTCCCGCTCAAGACATCTCAAGACGTTACTTACCTGCACAATCCCACACGAAAGCAAAGACCGATACAACCCCCCATTGGGGTCAACACATGGCCAATTCCCGCATGCCTAATTTTTCGTTTTCTTTGGCTTCTCATTGTTTTGCTTCCTTTGCTTAATCAGTCCATCCTCTTCTCATGGTCATGCAGTCGGGGAAATGGTTGAGTCAAACTAACCTTGCACCAACTTTCTCTGGCCCTTTTTGTTGACCCGACTCCTCTCAATCTCTTAAATGTCTCTTTCCTTTTCCTTCTGGTTGGCACAAGGGAACGACAGTCCTTCCTGTGCCCACTTTCTCCGCCAAGTGAGGGCAATTCCTTTTCACCGTTCGATTCTGGCAATGTAACAGTGAGTGGTGAAGGGTTAGTTATATGCCAAGTAGCAAAAGAGAAGAAGGTTGAAGGGGCCGAAGTATGAGACATGGGAACGAGAGAGAGAGAGAGAGAGAGAGAGAGAGAGAGAGAGAGAGAGAGAGAGAGAGAGAGAGAGAGAGAGAGAGAGAGAGAGAGAGAGAG